AAGGAAAGAGGGGTATATGTGTAATATGGGAAACAAATAAAGAGGTGAAATTTAGCTTTCAGCACTTCTTCCCACCTAGTAACCAATTTCTGAGAAATTCAGCAATGTGCCAGAAGCTTCCTGAAATAGCCATTAACAATCCTTGCCGATGGAGGTAATTATTTAAGGTAGGGAGGGATAACATCCTCTTCCATCAGCAAGCTGGAGTGCACTTCCACATTCGGGGGGAAGAGGAAAGAGAAAAAAGTAGGAGAACAATGGGAACTGCTTAAGAACCCAGACAGAGCTAAGACCAAGAAAAAAAAGATAGTGAAGGGGGTGTAAGAATGCATTCAGACCAGCTGGAGCTTCAGTAATGTAAGCCCCAGCTAAGGGGACTTCAATACAAAGAAAGACATTGAGGGACAACAGAAGTAACCTGAATGTATGAAAGAAAAAGATTAAAACCTTATCAAACATCAATTTATCAATATATAATTTTATACAGAAGTATGTATGCTAGATAATACCATAAAGTACAAAGAAAAATTGAAGTATCTTACTCCTCCTGATGCTACTGAATTATAAATAGAGGCTGTATTTATAAAAGAGGATGTAGACACTGGCATGAATAATCTGTAAATAAATATGGCAACAAGACCAGATGGATTTTGAGTTAAATGCTGAAAGGCTTTTAGAGGAGTTTTAATTTCTCTAACAAGAAACTTATTTGATAGTTTAATGCGAGCAGAAGACATCCTCTCCTTTGGAAGAAACAATGATAGTTTTAAAATATAAAGAGAGGTGGGATTTGACCAGCTGCTCAAGCTTTTGTGGTCGAGGTAAATATGAAGGGACATTCCCCCTTCACTCATTCTCTGTCAGAGTTCCTCTCTGGAAGTGACCACACAGCTGTCCTGGGGTGAGGAAAAGTGCTCCCCAGCTTTTGAGGTGCAGGTACGAAATCTCAGGTAGAAATCTGCCCAAATCATAAAGGAGTAAAGGCTTTGCTTTTCCAGTATCTTCCACTTCAAAGTGTTTGTTTTTCTCCTTATTCGGATGAAGGAGAAAAAGGGTTAATTTCTGAAATAAGTGAAACTTTTATAGGGGCTATTATAGATTTATACAAATTAAAAGCTTACTGGAGAGAGCAGGGAAAACTGAGCAAACGCAACGGCAAATGATACAGAAAAGGTATTACTCATCCTCCATTGTGGAAAATTACACAAAGAAATACTACGAAATACTCCACAGATAGTAGGTGTCTCCAGCCAGGATCCTGTACATATTTCAATGGTGACACAACGCGCTGGAGAGGCTGCTGAGAAAAAGCTATTATTTGCCCTTATGGGATGTGCCTGCACAGAGGTGCAGGAGGGACCAGAATGACCACTTTGTGGTGAGTAACAAAATTGCTCCAGATCCTCTTTGCTTGCTGAACACTCCTTGCAAAGGCACTCGCCTTGCACAGAAGGAAAAAATAACACCCCCGTGTTGGGACTGGCTGCTACATAGCTCTCTGTATGGAAAGAATTTTTTCATCCACCGACGAAAATTTCATAGTCTCAAATGTGGAACACCCTTTTGATGGAGAAACAACCACAGCAGGACTGGTAGAAGAGAGGGTAGGCTCTTTGGAATATGGATGCTATTTCATAGAAAGTAAAATAAGGGGCAGGTGTAACCTTACCATAAAGCAATGGTTTTTGCAATTGTCCAAATGGAAGGATTCAATTTCCATCAAGGATGGAAAGCGGTTACAAACTGTAACATACCTCCAGAAATGTACAAAAGTGTAGGTACAGATAGTTGTAAAGTGACAAATTTTGCATTAAAATGTAGCTTCTAGCCAAAGGAAAAAAGAAGGCTTTTAGAAAAGCAGAACGGGGCTTCCTCCATTTATAAATGTTAACGCCATTCTGAAAACATTCTTCTGTCTGGAAATAAAATATGCCACCTCCAAAAGCACCTTCTTTTTGAAAAGAGCAGACAGTAACAACAAAAACAACTCTGAAGTCAGAGGTGGCAAGTTTTTTTTAAACACCTCACATTCATTTCTAGCCTTAATCTACTCATCTTTTCACAGGAAGGATCAGGATAGAACAAGTTTCTGTAGCTCCTGATGAGCTGTAAGTAAAGGAGTATATTGACAGAGATTGTAAAACCTGCTCCACAGCATTATGTATGTGAAAGAATTTAGAATGACAAATAACCTCAGGGTCATTTTAATAAACTTGGGGAACCAGGTGCGAGATGGAAAGTGAACCCCAATACATATTTTAAAAGGCTGGAAGTTATTTAAAGTTGTTTTCATTTAAAAACATAGTATCTGGACATATAATATGCTTTCCTGAAAGCAAAGGTAGTGCAGGAGTGCAGTTCTGATTCACTGTCATCAGAACTCAGAGATCAGATGCCCTCATCAAAACCAGGTAGATCCTAGACATTGCATTCCCACTGTACCTGGCAAAGACTAGACCCTGTATGTTTGAGTTATGCTTATTTTTAGAAATGAGTCTCAACATGTGTAGCAACTAGTTTCTAGAAACCAGTACTAATTTCACAGCTGATAAAATATACGGAGACCTGAACAGTGTTTTAACTGGCACACTTCCCTTAAATGAGTAAAATATTACTTTTACATTTTTTCTTTTACATTCTTTTTAGTAGCAATGAACACATATATTTCTGGTCACATATCAAGATGTAAAGTATTCTTTTTCTAAAATAAAAAGTTTTATTGATGTATATAATTTGGCTCTGATTATAAGAGTTTTGATGGGCAGCAAAATAACTTTGCGCTTCATTCCATTAATTGGATCATTAGACTTGACCTTCCTATGATGATGATGATTTTCTCTGACTTTGATCCCTTAAAAGGATGATTGCTTCAGTACCAATATGTCATTTAATAGTTGATTCACACAGAAAACAAAATACGTTAAAATTAGGCACCAGGTGGGGAATGACTTAACTCTTAGCTGGTCAGGACTCTGAATTCTAAGAAGATATTTTAAAAAGAGAGAATGAAAGGTACAACACTTTAAAAGCCAAGATAGTTCCTCCTCTTGCTATCTTTAAATCATAATTCAAGGCAGTTAATCAAGTTTTTCATGTATAATAGACTGATTTTTCTATATCAAAAATGAAAGTATTACTGATTATATATTTTGGTGGGGATTTTTCCATAAACCCCCTTCTTTGCATATCTAACATGAACACTGGGAAATGCTGTGATACAGATCTTCCCAAACCAAGAGAACTAATAATAGACATATGGTCTTGTTGTGTAGGTTGGTTGCACTGAAAAGTGCAAATATGGAGAAATTAATCTAACTTACAAACATGCTTTAATAGTATTTTCCTCAGCCCATCCTGTAGCAAACTGCATACCATCCAGCCAAACAAAGCAGGACAGAAATCCTCAGTGAGAATTCACTGAAATTATTATTATTTTTTTTAATATCTGTAGTGCTGACTGTGACCTGATGGGAACAGGTAATGTTCTGAACAGCAAAACTCCCCTTGGACTGAAGATTAGCAAGCATCCAGTCTGGGGGAAAGGAGGTCCTCCAGCCAAACACTGAAACACTGGACTGGGACTCTGAGGCAACAATGATTCCTTGGGAATTAGAAATTAATTTGCTACATATCGTTTCATTCTTATTCTTTCTGCTAAGTCTGTGAACTAGCACAAAGGTTATGGTATGAGAACTGGAAGTGAGATCCAGCAACCTGTTCTCCAAATAGCTAAACAGCTTTAGAGTGGTGCTATACAGAGTGAAAAGCACAGTATGTTCCCCACACACGCACCTTGATGTGATGTATCATGGTTTTAGTGAAATATACATTTATTAAACTTATTTTGGCATTGTCTGGATTTAGAGCTGTAGTAATAATACATTCTAGGGAATCTCCTCCCTCTGTTATTCTTTATGTCTTGCACGTACTGTTGCAGCCAAGTAAACACCATTAATGTCAAAAGAGTGTTCTCAGTGCAAAAAATGCAAACAGTAAAATAGGAACTCGATTAAAATAAGGTGTTCAGATTATCTTTAGACATAAAACTCGTGCAAAATTATTTTGGCACATACAACTATTTCAGTGTCCTTACTCTAGTTTATGATGAAGTTTATGGCCATATATACACATATACTAATATTTCAACGTCAGTGCCCATGCTAGCACACAATCAGTGAACTTGTGAGAAGCGAAGGCACTTGGAACCCAATCGTCTACTAATAAGTACTTTAAAAATCTCTTATACAAACGTCTCTGTAAAACTAATAGGATTGCCGTGCGCAATTAGGCAGTGGAAGAAAGGTTACATCTGTTGTACTACAGAGGTTCTGCTGTCAGAGAAGCTCCAATTATGTGACCTACGCTGCTAAGTTGGCCTTATCTCAGCCTATACAATCATAATAACCTGATATAATATCAAAAAGGTAATTATGTTTTCAGCGTAGCCTATATGGAGGAATTTTAAGTAATTGGGAAATGTGAGGAATCTGAAATGTTAAGAATCAGTGTAGTTTCAACATTACTGTCACTTGGGGTTGCAAGAACTCGATTATGATGCATTTTGGGGAAGATCTTTTATTATTTTAATGAAGGCAATTTATCGGAAGTTTTAGTTTGCAGCAGGAGGATGATGTAGTAAGTACTTGAAACAGAGCGGAAGATGAGTCTGTGGTTTACGCTGCGAACAACACCACGTTGGGTTGACAGGGAGGAAGGACGAGGTGCTGAAGGGCAGGACGAGAGCCACCACCACCTCTCTGAGAGGACAAAAATGGCGGCGCCCCCTCCCCTCCCCTTCCCTTCCCCTCCCCTCCCGCCCGCCTCCCGCCTCCCGCCCGCCGGGGGGCGCTGCGGCGCCTGGGCCCGGCTCATCCGGGCCTGGGGGAAGCGGGGCGGTGCCCCTAAGCCCCGCCCACACCCCCCAGCTCCGCCCCTCCGGCCGGGCGCAGGCGCGGGGCGGGGGTGCGCGCAGGCGCGCCGCCGCGTGGGCGGGCCGGGGGGCGGTTGGCGGGGGCTCGGTGCGGGCGGCCGCTCGCGCGCGGCGGCGGCGGTTGGCGGGGGGCGCGCGGCGGCCGCGGGCGCTGAGGGAGGGGCAGGGCCCGGCCTGGGCAGGGCAGGGCAGGGCCGAGCCCAGCGGCTCCCTGCGCGCTCTCCGCTGCCCCCCCTCCGCCCGCCCGCCCCTCTCGCCGCCAGCCGGTGGATGCGGGGAGGCGGTGGCGGCGGTGCGCGGAGCCGGTGGGTAAGATGGAGGGCCTGACGCTGAGCGAGGCGGAGCAGCGCTACTACTGCGACCTGTTCGCGTACTGCGACACCGAGAGCACCAAGAAGGTGGCGTCCAACGGCCGCGTCCTCGAGCTCTTCCGCGCCGCGCAGCTGCCCAACGACGTGGTGATGCAGGTAGACCTGGCGGCCCCACGCCCGGCGGCGGAGCCCGGCACCGCCCCGGCGCTGCTGCCCGCGGGGGGACGGCCCCGGCCACTCCCTTCCCTTCCCTTTCCTTCCCTTCCCTTCCCTCCGCCGGGCTCGGGCCGGGGGGCGCGGAGCCATTGTCCGGGGCCAGCCGGGAGGGGAGGGGAGGGGACGGCGCAGCCCTCGCAGCAGGCCCCGGGGTGAGGGAGGGCCCGGCGGTGGGGTCAGGCAGCTGCTGGGGGCGCTGGGCCTGCTGGTTTGGCCCCCAAAAGGGTCTGGGGGGTGTGGGGGAGGCCGGGCCCGCAGCTCGCCGGTGAGGAGCGAGGTGGGAGAGCGGCTGGGTCGTGGAGCAGTGTCTGTGCCCGGCAGGTATTAGCTGTGGTTATCAAAATGCTTCCAACAGTGAAAAACGGAGTGTTAGTAGTGACGTAAGTCCGCGCTTACAGTATGTACACACTGACCTGTAACGCTATTTCCTTGGCCAGGTAACATCTAAAAGGTAGTAGTAGTAGCACAGAGCTACCAGCATAGAGAAGTCTGCTCTGGTGTGCCTCTTGTAATCACTTGAGGAAAGTACTCCCGGTGAACCGTTCATATCAATACCTCCCTGCAATAGTTTGCGGCTTTTGGAGTACCCCATGTTCAATACTTTGTAATTCATGTGTTATTTCGAGCCATCCTAAAAACTTCTTTTGGATATAGCTTTACCCACTGTCCATTCTGTCTTCCATACAGAAGAGTGTCTTCCTCTTCCCAGTGAGATAAGCTGCCCTTTCAACAAAACATTAAAGTTACTGTAGCCAGAAATACAGCACACAAGTTTCAGCCTTCAGCAGTTCAGTACCAGATTTCAGGAGAAAACTTGCCCCTAACAAGGATTACTGATCTCTTTTGGGCCCATAAAAGTGACTTCTTTAGTTGAAAGGAATGTAAGGTGCCCTGAATCATGTACTCCACCTCAGTATGAAAGATGATAGTTGTCAGCAGTTGTGTTTTTAAATGAAGTAGCAGTAGTGGGGTGAATAAGAAATGCTTCTTACTGGTAAAACTAGTAGTCTTTTATTTGATGACTTGTTAGACTGGACTTTATGGTTAGAGAGTCTGCACGTTCAGTATTAGGAATGAGGTTTCTCAGGGGCCACCCACTGCGCCTTTTTGTGTGTGGCCAACACGTTACAGAAGAATCATCCTGAGAAAGTGAATGTTTACCTGTTTGTTGTATTTAAAATCTCTTTTTCCATCAAACTTGCCTACTTCTTCTACACTGTGATCCAGGCTAGTGCTGGAGATTTTTACCCAGAGATCTAGAGCAAGATCTTGGAGACGCTTTGCATTTTGAGTGGAAGTGGCCAGAGATTATATCCTTATCTGTCACAAAGGAGGTGAAATATTTTCTTGCCAAGTGGAGTGCATCTGAAGGAAAGAGAAACTACTCAGGCATCGTTCCATGGGCTCTAAATAAGTGAATTTAAGAAGCAGACCTGGCTTATCTCTGTGGTGATCTCAAGGAAAACCTTGCCATTAAAACAGCAAACAAGATGTTAGATTGCATGAGGAATGAAACTGTAAATAATACAAAGAAAGTCAAAATGCCCTTAGCAGTTTGACCCATTTAAAATGTATTGTGCAATTGCTGTTGGTCACCTGTGAAGTACTTTAAATTTGAGGGAGAGAATATGGTTGCCTAGCTTTTCTTTGTACTCATTGAAATATGGCTGTACCTCTGCTTGATGCAGGCACGAAGACATTGGTGAGTGTTCTTCTGAGGGAAATTGTATTTGTTCCTTCAGAAGCTGTGAATGTGCAACTAAAACTCAGGATGATATGAGTTTAAGAGGTAACGAAACCCCCTGATGAAAGTGGAATTTTACTTTACACTGTACCGGGTTCTTACCTGTTTGTTTGAAGCACCCGGTGTTTGTGAGGGAAAGGAACTTGATTCAGGTACCCAGTTCTTACATAATCCTGGAATGCAGGTGGAGTACTAGTCAAGTGAAATGCTAAGTACATTGTAGGTATACAAAAGAGTGCAAAATTGCTGCTCTTCAAACTTGCAGGCGCCAGGTAGTCTTGAGGAACTACAGGAGTTTTTTTCTCTTCAGTACTATAGGTCTGTAGGTACCTTTTGAATAATCCAGAGTTGATCCTATTGAAAATGAGCATGTGTGGCTTAGCTGCGTTTTTAGACCCGTAACTTGTTTTGTTCCCAAGTCTGTTTGGGGGCTGTTAGCACATGCAACCTGTCCTGCAAGAAGCCATGTTTGAGACTTCTGTCTTGCAAAAGGAAAACTCAATACATGATCTTATAATAATTGTTCTTAATCATTCTCATTTCTGGCTCCAAGGGATACTACCAGCTGCCTATTAGATGGGAATAAATGAACATGCAGAAGGCTGAAGCAGTTATGATCAGTGCATATAAAACATATGCTCACAAAGCAACAAAAATCTGGAGTGAAGAGCGGTGCCTGCCACATAGTATGCATCTGCGAAAGGACAGCCTTATCGCTACCGCAGCGTAAATACCACACGCAGCCTTACAACCTTAACTGCACATGTGAGGACATCTCATTAACCTGTATTTCTGCCTTCTTGTGCACATCCTTGAAATGAGCGTTCAGGTAGAAGATCTGCATAAAATGGTGGATAAAAGTATGTGTGTTGAGATAACAAGTTGGGCTACTTCACAACAGTTAGGAGGTTTTTAAATTGCTCTCAGGGCACGGTTCCACACTGCAGTTACTCCAGTCCTGTGGTGAGCTGCCACCGAAGGAGGTGGTTCAGTGTTCCCCCGGCCATGTGCTCCTGCTGCTTCTTCCCCTTGTACAGACACCAATGGCCATCCAATGTTGTTCTACTACATTGATTCCAGGGGCTACGCAGGCAGAAAATCACAGTTTTTGTTGCTTTTTTTTAATCTCTGTATCACCTAACACTGAAGTTGAACGGATGTTAGCGCTGGCACAAAGAAAGAGGCAGGAAAACTGTTCGCTGACAAAGGAAAAGAGGGGAGCCTTCCTCATTTATAGTTGCTGGGTATTTCAGTTCTGACTTAGCACGAGTTTCACAGTAGCTTAAACCACCAGAAGTTGGAACTACCTTATTCTTTTGAACATACAGTGAGCTGGTTCAGGGGGCTTGTTCAGCCAGAAGTTTTGTTGTTTTTTTTTGTTGATTTTTCACTTGTGTCAGCAGCGTGATTGATGGCTCAGTTGCCTGTGCATTGGTGTTTATGTTAGCAAGTAATACAGCACAACACAAGAGATGCTGAGGACCTGACACTGTATATGCATTTCACAAGCTTCGCTTTGACAAAGTTCTGGCATGGTGTCTCAGAGTGAGTGTTAGCAGGAATTCATTAGGTGCATTCCTCGAGTGCGCCTTCTAGGTTAGCTTCACAAAAAAGAAATCCAGTTGCCTGTTCTGAGGTGGTTCCGGAGCGTGAACCAGAGCAGTGGGGGTGATCAGAAGATTTGCTTCAAAAGTACTCCTTGCATCTGACCTAAAATGCTAATGTAGGTATGCTGTTCAAGTCTGTTCCTGGTTCCTCTGTGCTGGCAGTGAAGTTGCTTGTAAAAGCTATAGTCAGACAAAAGGGGAAAAAGAGAAGTTCCTTACTTGTGTGTGGGATTCATATGGCAGCTGTCCCATTTGTTTGAACTTTCACTCTTTGATTATGAATTACAGAACCTTCACAGGACAAGAATACTATCTGTTGTGCATATAGTACTCATCTGAAATAGGCGAGTCAAAGCATCTCACTTTAAAATTACAGCATTATCATTAAACAACAAACGTTTAATGCACGTACTTTCTCTAAATCTAGTGAACTGTAATCTTCAGTGTTGGTGTTGTATACAGTAGTTACCCAACTTCTAATTTTGTGTTACAAAGTGTTTGAATGACAGGTGAATTAATTACACAGTTACGCTATTTTTTTCAATTACAACTGTGGTTGCTCTAACTCATTAAAAACATAATATAAAGCCTATTTTTGACTTGTTTGCCAATCTGTAATTTCAGGCATGTTTCTAAGGAGTCTTTACAGACAGATTAGTTCTGATCATTCCTGTGTCATTGTAAAGAAATTGCTGTCACTGCTTGCCTATCTCTACCCTTTGTCACGGTTTTCCGCCCTCACATGGAAAATTGTAAGAAAGTGCATACCTGGGATGCAGCTGCTTCACTGTAAGGTCCATAATCCGAGTGTAAAGCCTAATTCATCAGCTACAGTTTCTGGGTTGTGTAGAAAAACCACTAAGATGCAAGCATATGCTGTCTTCTGTTGTTCTTGGGCTGATAGCTTTTGGCAAACGTGGAGAGCACGGAATGGCAGTTTCCGAAGGTGCCAGAGCTCACCTGTTGGCACGGGGTGCAGTTACAGTTGGGATTACAGTCCAGAGGCAGAACATGGCAAAATGAAATGGCAGGGTCTTGGTTTGAAAATGTTGACTACTTTGTTAGATGCTGGGTTTTAAAGAGAAAAGTGATATAAGAAAATAAAACTTCGTTCAGGGTGATTTTATTGTTGCAATTAATGTTTCAGTGAACTTCTCTACACAAAGACTACCTGTTTATCAAATCAGTAGAATTTACTAAATGCCAACTGCAACTGGAAGCTGAACCAGGGCATGTATAGGTTTACCTGTACTTAAATTCAGCAAATTCGTCAGAATTATGATATTTTCAGAGCTGGTGGGGTAAGAAGTTAGATAAGAAGTTAGAATTTCTTGTGCAGTGCAAATCTGTACCTTCAGTTTGGACTTGGAATGTATTTAAAAATGTATAGTACTTTCAGATCTTCTCAAAAATGCATGCTGTGTAAAAACCTTTCTCCTCCTAATAATGATCTTTGCATAAACTGCAAACAAGCCTTATTTTAAAAAAAGGATCACTTAATTGCATCCAGCTGATACATTATGTATTTTTTACTTTAAAGCTCACAGGTTTTCTACATTTTAAAACAAAATTGGATTTCTTCTGAGGCA